GTCAAGAAGGGAGGAAGCGTCAAGAAGGGAGAAAGCTATTGGTACCTGGAGACATTCTCAGACTCAGACTCAGGCGGAATCAAAAGCCACAGAAAGTCAACGTCAGGAGGATTCCATGCGTTGAGCAGTTGTCCAATGTTCATCAGCTGCAGGGCACAGAAGATCATTCATGTGAAGCAGAACTACACACAATAGTTTCCTCAGCGTCAGATAGAATCTATATTCTTGAATTTGCTCTTGGGGCAAAGGTGGACCATTACATTTTCACAGATTCACTGAGCGCATGCCAGCTTGTGATGAAGAGAGGAGTTGGAAAAGTGAGACACTTGGATGGAAAGTTGCTACGCAAGTACCAACAGATAGCAACAATACAAAGCCACTTGGAGGACAAAGAATCAGATACTTGATGAACCTCATTGGTTTCTGGCACGGTGAAGATCAAATCAGACTAGGAGAGTATGGGTGTTTGAAGAAAAGAAGACTTTTGCAGGAAAGGTCACTAAGATTACCAAAATGATTGTCAGAATTGTTGCTTTCGAGGGCTTGCAGCCAATGGTTACAGAAGCATTCCTGAAAGGAGACAACATCCAGTGTGGGTTGGACGCAGTGAAGAAATCCAATGAAGAAATTCTGGATTGCCGTGATCGTTGTGTTCAACACTATTGGTTTTGCAGCAGTGATCTTTCTACTTTCTACTCTTCAGGATCTACAAACACTTAGACCCTAGGCGCAGCTGAAGCTCATACAAGCCGCTCTGTGGCAGCGCGCTAGTCAAGAGAATTGAGGAGCGAATTGATGAAGTTGAAGAAAGGGTTGGAAGTTGGAGAGAAGAAGAACTTGAAGAACAGATAGACACACTTCAAAAATATGTCAGGAGAATTCACAGTGGATTGATTCTGAATGGAGGCGTTGTAGAGAGAGAGAGAGAGAAACACCAAATATGCAAACTATTCTCAGCTACAACATCTTGAGTGAGGTCAACGCAGGAAACCTACTTCGCCAGAAGGAGTTTGGAGGCCACCCAAGCTACAAAAGGATGGGTTATAAAGGACACAGAGTAACGCTAAAGGCAGCCACTGAAGGAGCGAACCCGTCAGAAGGACCATTGAACAGAACATCCAGATGGGGAAACGGAGAAGTATCAATGAGGTCAAGGAGTGTGTAAGGATGCAGGCAGTACAGATGTGTGGTAGATTCCAAACCAAAATTAAAGACTTGAAGACACAACCATGGAACCTACTAGGGATAGGACATCAAAGTTCTGCAGATAAAGTTGACCGAGAACAAGAAAAGTATGAACTGTTACCTGAAATGGCAGAAGACAACCCAGATGCTGATCCAACAGAACGCTTCAGGAACAATAAGCCCGCAGAAACAAGACTTGAGTGGAAGAACATGGATTATGGTGGCATAGTGAGCTCAAAGAAGCATCTTAGAGTTTCACACTGCCAAGAAGGAGCGCGACCCATTTTCCATGTGAACCACAGGAGAGAATGTACAGCATAGCTAGCATCATGTCAGTCATTCTCACCTGACTGACGCCCTTGTGAATCAAGAAGAGGTGAGGAATATTATACTATATATATGTATACTTTGCCAAAGAACAAATTTAAGCAGAATGTGGCCTTTCTGTGGGGCAAAACATGATAGAGTGACTACACACAGCAGACAAAAAGGAAGGTCAGAAAAGAGAGACACCCAAAAACCAGGCCAAGGTAGATTCGAGGAATCAACAAAGATTATCATTTAGGACTCGTGGGGATGTCAGGAAAACTCATGCGGGTGTTGTTTTTGAAACGACATGTTTTTGCTGTGTTGCTTGTTGTGTTTTCTCGGGATGCGATGGGAGACACAAGCAGCTGAAGAAGCTAAAGAAACTGAACAAACTAGAGAAGCTGAAGAAGCTGAAGAAGGTGGAGAAGCTGAAGACGAGGCGAACACTCGGAATGAAGAACGCCCGCCAGAAAGAATTGATCATTAAACAGTGAAAGAGATCAAGAAAAAGGGAACGGCGCGGGACAGTCAAGGCCTTAGGTGAGACAGGAGAGAAGAATTGACAATTCCGTCACAGTGGCAGGCCTACGGCGAGGAATGGCAGGATTGGGAGGTGGGTTATGCGTTGTTATGCATTGGTGCGGATGGTTTCCTTGAAGAAACAAATCTAAAGGTTTTAAAACAAAAAATCTAAAGGATTCCAACAGTAAATAGAAAAACACATAAAACATGTTTATATTAGGTTGGAGGCCATCGCTACTAAGTTGTAGGCCATCGTTACTAGGTCGGAGGCCATCGCTACTAGGCTGGAGGCCATCGCTACCTAAGGGATTAAAAAAGGTTTTAAAGAAAGAAACACGTCTAAAGAAAAAATTACTGAAAAAAACAGGTGGTTTCCTTCGTTTTCTTCGTTTTTAGGATGATTGGGAAGGAGAAGGAGCAGAGTCCGAGGTCGCGGCTTTGCTGTTTGGAGTTCTTCACAATGATACTGTAAAAAGCACTCGGTACTTTGCTGTTGTTTGGTTTGTATGCCAAACTGTCCAACTGCAACACGAGTACCATGAGAAAGGAACATCTCAGAAGGCCAAAACATGATACACTGCAACTCACTTCCACACGCTTTCAATCCACTTCCAATTTTGAGTTTTAATGGAATGTGTTCTTAGCAAGGCAAGGCCCAAATCAGCATTGCTTGTCAATTTCCAGAGACCGCCCAGAACGGTCAAAACCGGGAAAGGATTTCTACAGGTAGGCCATTGCTATTAGGTTGGAGGCCATCGCTAGTAGGGGAAGGCCGATTCCTATCACGCCTTGAGGCAGGCATCAATCCGATTTGTTGGATTTGGCCGGTCTACTCTCACCTGGCAAAGTCCACTTACACGCGACAGATGGCGTTTTGCAGTGACGTACTGAATGTCCCAAAAGACTCAAGCTAAGCGCCAAGATGGGCATGTTGAGCAAATCAAAGTCGGATCTGAAACTTCGTAGTAACAAGAAGCTACTAGGAACAAGTGCATCGCTTCTAGTAACAAGTGCCTTACTAGTAGTAACAAGAAGCTATTACAATTCTCACCCGCCTGAAACTTGCAGCAACGTCTCGCCTCGTCCATGTGTCGTGAAGTCGTTTGGTCAAGTCACAACGAGTGATTGGATGATTCCTTGCGCCCTTAAGTGTTACTAGGAACAAGAACGCTTGTGGTTAGACGGGGGCCGCACGGTCGAACCTCCTGTCATCCAGAGTAGGTGGTTGCGTTCCCAAGAGTGCGTGCGTCGAGAAATCTACAAGCCATGGCCTCCAACCTGCTAGCCATGGCCTCCAGCCTAGTAGCGATAATAGCCTTCAACCTGATGGGGATGGCCTCCCACCAATGGTTTCGATGGCCTCCAACCTTTTCTAGTTTTGGATCTTTTGGCTTTGCTGGTCTTGTGGCCTTGCTGGGCTATTTCTACTTCTAGTACTCATTCATCAGCAAAACACCTTGCATAGCAGTCAATTCACATCTAGACGATGTTTCATCCAAAAAAACATGGCAAAAGGATTGAAACAAAACGATAACACTCCCAAAAACGTGCCTTAAACACTTTCCACCATTTGACCCCGCTTGGCCCTAGTTTTGCCCCGCTCATTTGTACTGCAGAATCGCTCAAGTCTGCCGCATCCGCGTCCGCAATGTCTTGTCTCCCAACTTCCGAAAACTCGAACGCCCCTCTAAAAAGCCGACGTGTTCGCCCCATGGGAGAATCAAATCAGACTGCAAAACCTTTGGCCATAGGCAGCTCCACTTCTACCAGGTATCACACCCACACCAAGAAGGGAAGTTCATGGACAATTGGCACAGATTTGCAAAGAGCTCGAAAGAGATAAGACCTGTGGCGTTGTTTCCCGGCCGTGTTTGCCTAAACTAACTCATTGATCATTGATCCACGTTTATCCCAAGGACATCTGCACATTATGTATGAAACAACATCATTGGGGTTCTGCGGTTCTAGTTCAGTCCATCCCATGCTCAGCCAGTTACGACGGCGGTCCTGAAGGTTGAAACACTGTCTATCTCCCACAGCTCAGGCGGATGGAGAAGAGTGGCAGGTGCTTCCTATTTACCTCAATTGCAAGAAAAGTGTTCTCAAACCGGTACAAAAAAGTAAGACAACGATCGGTCTGTTTGGTAGAAATAAGAAGAGCAAGAACGGATTGGCCAGGAGTACGAGGGAGAGTTCGCAGCGGCGGAGGCTGCATGTTTGAAACGCAAAAGAGAGTAGAGAAGAAAGAGACAAAGGTGTTTGAGCGTTTCTTCTCTTTTTCTATATGTTCCCTACAACCGTTTCTTTCTTTATTTTTTGGAGTAATTACATACGACATGCACCCTTTTTGCTAGGTATTCATGTTGATGTTAATCTCCCTTTGCATGATCATGTTGTAATCATGGTCACCGGCAGCGTCACTCATGCTATGCTATCTTAGTAGCGTCCTTGCTCCTAGTAAGGCCAGGAGCCCCTAGTAGCGTAGTAGGGATGCCCTTTGCTCCTAGTAGCGTCCTTGCTCTTAAAGGTGAGTGGGGTGGGTCTGGGGAAAATGAGGTTCGTTGTAGTTGCTAAGGAGATGATGTCCGGAGGGTTGACATTCGTAGGATGCTGCGGCATTGGTTGATTTAGCATGGCTCCTGCGTAAGGATAACACAGCACATCCTCAAGTGTAGTATTTGTACTCATCGGTGGCTCGAAGGTATGCAAATAGGCGCGCCGCGTGCATGTGATTTTCGGATGGTAGCAAAGCCCATCCCCGGGCAATGATGCTGCCAAAGTTCGTGAACCCGCTTTGAAGGGCATGGCCACATTTGGGGGAAGAAGCTGCATGGGCTGTACCACGGCTTTCTTGGTGAGAAAGCAATTTGGCTTCGGGGACAACAATTTGCGTTGTTACGGTGGGCTTGAGGCTTGCAATGGTTGGTTTGCGTCCAACATGTTGCCGACAGGTCAACGGGAACTACGGCTGCAGAGTTCAAACAGGGCTGGAGGCCTGGGCAAGAGTGGGCAGGGGGGTTGATGCCCATGAGCCGACGTCATCGGCGACAGGAACTGGAACCGTCGCGAAAGAAGGCAAAAATGGCTTGCAAGGTGCACAATGCTAGCGCGGAGGAAGAGAGCCACAGCGGAGCATCTACCGCGACGATTTTTGGCCAGGTTCCTAGAGAGAGCATGATGTGCATACGTGACGTTGCAAGAAAAGTTGGAGTGGGAGTGCCTAGAGCTTTGTTGCAGGCAAGTCTGTTTGATACAACACAGTCGCTTGCATGGTCGTTGCACGCAGACGTTGTGGATTGGTTGGGCGTTGTGGCATAGTTTGCAACATTGCTGTTGGTTTGTGGCAACTGGAAAACGCCGAGGGTGGACAGAGGAGGCAACCTTGCAAGGAAAGGTATAGTCAAGAAGCAGTTGATGGCACGTTTGGTTGTCACCAGACCAAGGATCCGGAGCTGGTGGAGAGACGCCAGGTGCAGACTGCAGATGGCAACAACAGCAGCAAGTACGTTGAAAAAGTCCCAAGTTCAGGTGGAGCTCGCATCGTTGTGCGCAATCACAGCTACAAGCAGCTAGCTGGCAAGGTGCTTGGAGATGCGGATGCCTTGATGGCGCCGATCCACAGTCGTTCAGCAGCAGGAAATTTGCATGTCAGAGCTGGCTTACAAAAATAGGAGGACCAAAGTTCCAAACATACAGACCCTGTTCCCAGCACGAGCGAGCGCAAGTGAAGATGAGTGAGATTTGCTCGCACGATTTTATTTCATTTTGACTTCTTACTGCGAAGGAAGATGTCTTCAACATGTCAAGCAGAGATGCCATCGAGCCCACTACCAGAGCACGTTCATTGGCCTAGGACACCTTCTTTTCCTAGAGAGAAAAGCGTGTTAGAGCGCATTCTTGGGTTTCACCGTCCGCCTTTCTACCAGAGCTCAAGACCGCCACCCGCCCTCGTTTGGTGTTCAGTACGCAAGTTGAGGGATCATCTTCAGCTCAGAGTGAAAAGGGCAGCGCAAAGTATCCAGAAATTTGTAGGGCTATCCGAACACGGGTCAGAAAGTCCTTTGAAGTGCTTGACAGACAAGGATCATTCAACTGGGCAATAACGGAGCAGCGCCCTTGAACATCACCGCTTGGGAAGGAAAGCTCAAAGGAAAGCTGAAAGGCAAGAGCTAGTGGCAGAACAGGGAGGAAAAGGTTAGAAACAAAGGTGGCCCGAAAGGAAAGTCGGAAGGTAAGACAAAAAGAGCAAGACTTCTAGACCAAAACCGTTGTATTCGGCATGGGTATAGGCGTTGTTGCTCCGCCATGCGAATATTCCTCAGCCACCAAGGACTTCAACAGGATCAATCAGCTGCTTCTACGTCACGTCCATCAACAGCAACCACCACGAACGCAACAAATTCACGTTCAGTGACGTCGCATGGAAGTCTCCAGATGCCAGCGCCGCAAGAGACTGAGGAAGGATGTGACAGCACGGGCGCTTCCTCTTCCCCATGAGAGCCGCCACAGGTAATGACCCTGGGACAACAGTTCGGCCTCAAGACTCTCAAGGTGACTCTATTTGAGGAGAGGCTGTTTGAGGTGTTTTCTCTGGGTGGAGCGAAGTGAGAAGGTGCATTTCTTCTCGCAAGAACTCCACATGAAGATGAACAGCCCATTCAAGCGCCAACATCAGATCCACAGAACATGATGGACCCCATCTGCTGAAGGACACAGAACATGATGGACCTTGAGATCATCTGGCTAGTTCAGCAGCAGTAGGACCAGAAAATATCACCTGAGCCTGAAGATGAAGACATACGAAGACAATCACGGTTGAAGGCCAAGAAAACGGAATGGCTGAAAGAATGTTTCACAAATGCCGGCACGCGCACAAGCACAGTGAAAAGAGCAGAAAGCACTCACTCGCACCCTGTCACAGAAGGAGATGCACGACGCCCCTGCGCAAGGATCACACAGCACTTTGTCAAGTGTCGCTGTAATTAACAGTGGCTCGAAGGAACGCAAGAAGGCGTGCGTACATTTGAGTTTCGGAGTTTTTCTTGTTCGCGCGAAATTATTTTTGAGCGGATCCTTGTTCAAAACGAAAGTGTCCTTTGCAAATGTAAAGTAAATTATCTTTTGAAAAAGTTTGAGGTTGTGTAGCGCGGCAAGTCGAATATTGTCGCACGGCCCCCTCTTTGCCCAAAACCATGATTTAAACATGTTTGGAGTAAAACATGTTGCGGGGATGCTCCTTGCACTACATTGTTGGGAATACTGAAACCATAAACGTGCTTGGAATCTGATCAAGAGCAACAGAATCACTTGTGATATTCCAAGCCCGTGAGACCCGTTTAAAGCAAAATCAAAATCATTAGCCCCATGCTGGCTAACTTTCTGTTGGAACATTTGTGTACCCCAATACATGTGGCTTAAAGAATCTCACATCAGTCTTGACTATGAACACTATGGTTCACCAAGTCTGCTAGGGAGGGGAAGAGGCGAAGAAGGGGGAGAGAGAGGTAGAAAAATAGACAAAGATAACAACAAATAGACAATATTTGGAATAGACATCTGGAGAGCCCAGAAAGGGGGGAAAGAGAAAATCATAGAAAATGCATGACCGTTCGTTGCAATATGGCGAGGAATTCGAGGATCACATGGAGACAGAGACCATAGGCAAGCTCTGGCAGGACCGCTGGTATGCGCTGGGATCGTCACTTGGTGCAATTTTCAAGTGTTTCTGAGTTCCACACCGCCTTCTTCCAGTTGTTTGTTGTTTTTGCTGCATGTGTTTTGCAAATGTGGATGCTGGTGATGGTCAACCACAATTGCACTGTGCTAAAGGAATGGAGTAATTAGTGTGTTGGGTCGTGGCAAGTTTGTGCAGGGTATGCTGGACAAGGAAGTCGACGCCGAGATTGCAGGTCTAGAGGCGTGTCAGAACACATTGTTTATTTTATACCTGCATCCTTAGGAAATGCGCCCAAGGCCCCCCTGAGTTCTGGGATTCATTATTTGGATTAATTTTCAAAATTCATACAAAAATCTTGAGGGGGTCGACCACCAAGAAGTCAACAAACATTTTAAAACAAGGTTGTTGGATTAATTAGCTGTCCATGGTATGGATTAATTATGCAAAAACGGGTCAGCTGCACAGCGTACCGGAATGCGAAATAGAGTGAGGATGGCCGAAGAGAAAGAGAGCAAAAAGGTGTGAAATGAATCCAAGGGTATGTGAGTGGTGAACCACCCTATGGCTGACTTCTGAAAATTTGCAGATTAATTAGGTGGAGGCCCTCAGGATTAAATAGGTGGACCCCCCTTGTCATTTTTGCTTATGATCTGGTTGAGACTAAAACCCCTCTGATTAAAAAGATGTTAATTTCCTAATCCAGACCTAGAGCAGCTCAGGATTAAATAGTGGAGGTACCCCGGATTCATAAAAATAATTAATCTAGGGTAGGGGGTAGATCCCCTCCCCCTAAGGCAGGAGGTATTTTATTTTCAAAAGTTCAGTGGCTACGACTTGTTCATAGAAAAAGGGAAAGGCACCGTAACCACAACTGTGTTTTTTGTTTTCCGTTCCTTACGAGTTTGCGCGACAATATCCTCTCTCCGACGACAGAGTAAACTGACATATCATGTGTACTTATGATGACCATGTTCTCACGACCGTTGCCTGCAACTGCGGAAACCACGCACAAGATAGCTCGGTTGCATCAGATACACGGGTGTTCTTTATACATATAAGATTTTTTGGAAATGAGATCGCTATTAGGTTGGAGGCCATCGCTCTTAGGTTGGAGACTTTTTTTGAAATGAGGCACCCTTTCGATTTTTGAGATTGCTCCGCGGAGATTGAATCCATTCGACAGTTTTTGACCTTTCTCAGGCAGACGGTGAGCACGAGGTGCGCAAGAATCAAGTCATCAAGGTTGAAAAATCAAGTCGCCCATTCATTCTGAATCAAATTTTGGATGTTTGAATTTGACCTAATTCTAATTTAACTTAATTCTGATTTAGTTATAATAGCTTCTTGTTACTAATACTACTAGTAAGGCACTTGTTACTACTAGTAAGGCACTTGTTACTAGTAGCGATGCACTGAGATGTCCTTTTTTCGAGGATCCGAATCTCGAGGAGTTTGAGGAGGTGCGACAGCAATATGCCTCAAAACTATCGCATCCTGCTCGCACGGTATCGCTGCATGTCGAGGTCATGGTGGAAGAAGAGCAGGAAGAAGAAAAAGAGGGAAATGAAGAGGAGCAAAAGGAAGAGCAAAAGAGCTAGTAGTAGCAAGAAGCTACTAGGGGCTCCTGGCCTTACTAGGAACAAGGAGCTCTTAGGGGCTCCCATCGCTACTAGGAGCGAAAGGAAGAGCAGGAAGCGCCAGTCCCAAAGGTCCCAGAGCCTTCAGGAGAGCTTTTGACAGACTCCGACGTTTTCGAGAGACTTTTCGAGACAGGACCCCCACAGACTGTGCCGCCTCCATATGGAGGTGCAACGTCGAAAGAGTCGAGACATGTTCAGACTCCCTTGTGCAATCGGAACACACGATGCTGAAGATGGCAGTTCAAGCAGGGAAACAAACGCAGCTGATTCTTTTTGCATGTGTCGTGTGTGTCGTGTGTGTCCACTTGAACGCATAATGGGCCAACTTGCGTGTTCAGATCGCCCAACGAAGCTGAACATGGGATACCGGGCTTGGCCATCCTGGCATGCCAAGCTGTGACACCAATCGTCTTGTAAAGGGCTGCGCTGTTGAAACACCGTTGGCTGACCCAGCATTCGTGCTGTATCGCTCTCTGGACTTAACGGTCATTCAGCTATGAACCTAAGTGTGACCAGCTGAATCTTCCCACTTGGGTACGTACTAGTAACAGGTGCCTTACTAGTAGTAACAAGAAGCTAGTAGTAACAAGTGCATCGCTAGTAGTAACAGGTGCCTTACTAGTAGTAGTGTGATCCCCGATTGCGCCGAACTCATGACTGGAAATTTCCCTTCGCTTCCTGCGCGCCGAACGAGCCATTTCCTGAACTCTTGCGCTTTCCCGGGCACTGAACGGACACTGCCGAGTACACGGTGATTCTCGAATTTCGCACTTCACCATGTCTATTGTCCAGTGAAGCTTTCCACTCGTGGTCCTTTGTGATGATCACCCATTCATGCAATTTTGAATTCGATTCTTTCTCAACGATGTCCATTCTGTGACACTAATCTTCTTGTAAAGTGCTAGTGCGGCGCAGTTGAAACACCTTCGGTTTGACTGACCCAGCGTTCATTCAAGTCAAGTGCTCGATCACTCTTTGAACTTAACGCGCATTCATTTGAGCTATGAATTTAAGTGTCAGACTGGCAGTTCACATGTCAAAGTTTTATGCATGGCAATTCCAGAGCATGCAGAACAGGAGAACATATGTATTGAGAATCACTTCTTCATTCGTGTTCCTTGTGGGTAAGACTGAGAAATCACAGAAGTGGCAACCTTTCTCGTACGTTCGTTTCGCCGATTTGTGGCGATGGCTTCCAACTAGCTGCTGCTCGTTCTGTGAGGCCAAGTGAAAATACGACCAGGTAATCCACTACTGCGACCAGCTGTCCCAAAGCTGCGGCCAGCGGTTCGTGGGAGTCTGAGATCAAGACGCCCAACTGTCGGTATCACAGCGTCGCTGTGGATTTAACTAGGTTCTAAGCCATTGCTACTAACTAGGTTGGATGGAGGCCATCGCTATAAACAAAGAAAAAGAACTAAGCCTCACTGTGGATGTAGGTCTCTCTTTGACTATGATGTTTGGAGGCCCGGTACTTCCACGGCCGCAAATAAGTGCATGGCTCTTAGCATGTTGCACCATCCGGTTTTGTTGAAAGCAACCTTTGATTCTGGATTGTTGCAAGCTGTTGAGATAAAAACAAACCATGCTTTAAGTTAAGTGCCTTAGGCAAAAGTTGACTGTCAAGACATACCACGAATTCTTCTGAAGCATTCTTCCAAATGTAGCACGCGGCGGCAACTGGTGGTGTCCTGGTGACTGTGGTTGCCTAGGCTCCAAACTTCGCGCAAGCAGGGCGCAACTGGTGAGCAACCCGCGTCGTTAGAGAGAAAAAGATGAAGCAGAATCACGTTCTGACGACGTCGAGTGAATCACAGTTCTAAAGGTCAAAAAAGAGAAAATCGTCTAAAGAAAGGAAACAGAAACAAGTCTGATCTGGTCTCAAGATTAGAAAGAAACAACAAAAAGATGTCTAAAGTCGTTTCTTCTTTCAGAATGTTGTCAAAGTCCACAGCTGGCCGGCCACGAAGAAGTCGGGATACACTCCCAGAAGGTTGAATATCACAGCGTGAGGGCACAAAAAACAGGAAAAGGGTCGAAAGGTCGAACTTAACAACAAGTGCCTTACTAGTAGTAACAAGAAGCGAACGTAGAAACAATATATAAATAGAAACAAGAAGCTACTAGTAGCAAAGGACCTCGCTACTAGAAACAAAGGGCATCGCTCTAGTAACAAAGGGTCTAACGGTCTAAATTAACAAAAACGACTGCCATGCCGACGACCTCCACACCGACTTGGCAAACCCTTGGCAAACGTGCCCCTGCGCCGGTCCGGGCTCTCGAGCCTTGATTGGGCTCACCAGGCGGCTTTCGGTGTCATCTCCATCGGTTGGATGTCAAGTCATCTAAAAAGATGTCTCGTTCCTAGCCTTCTTGTTCCTTTCTACGCCTATTCTTTAACAGGGCACCGGTTGACCTCCCAAGTTCAATTGTGAGTGGTTGTGCAAAATAACGCGTTGTCATGGCATGCTCTTGGTAAGTTTCAGGATTTGGGGGAGAAACAGCCATTTTCGGACAACAGTCCTCAATTTGATACAGGTGTTTTGAGGCTAAAGACTTTGTATGATTTTTGGCCATGCCCTTGTTCCTTTGCGCCCTTGTTTCTTTGCAGATGCCAGTTACACAAGGTTAGGAGGGGCTGCGCTTGAATGTGGCTGTCGACCTTGCAGGACAGAGATGGCTTTAAACTCGTCGGCGCCTGCGGCTGACTTCGATGATTTGTGGCGTAGGTGCAGACCTCAAACGGAATTTTCATGCATTTTGTTTTGGAAGAAGTTTCAGAAGGGCACTGACAAAGATTGAGTGTCCATGTTTGCAACGCGTGCTGTGACTTCATGGTTTGTGTTCATGTCCAATGCTGTGCCTTGGTTAATGTTGAGTCAAAAAACAGTTGAAAGCGTGTCCAAGTGCAGGTGGTCTTGCTGTTTTGCGGTGGGGCAATTGAGAATCTGAGAAGGAGATGAAGTTGACCATCGCTGCACCCCTAATTGACATGTCAACAGGACGAGCAGTTTCTTGTGCCACCAATATGTTGGGTAGTGGTATGCGCTTCAATAACCCGTTTGGACTTCAGCCCTTCAGCCGTTCAGTTTTGTTTTTGCTCCGGACGGTGAGAAGGAGAAGATGAGTGCAACTCTTCGTGGCACTTGTTACTACTAGCGTGGCACTTGTTACTACTAGCGTGG